CACGCACTCATTTCCGGTGGCATGACATTCTCCTGTTTCCCAGGGCCAGGCAGCACCAGGGTGGCACCAACCCTCAACAGCCCCTGCCCACCTAACTGCGCCTTCCCCCTCCCCAGCACCCTGCCTGTCCCTCGGGGCAGTCGGCAGCCTGGCCAAGAACAGCATGGCCCCGAGCCGAGAGAAGAACCTACTTTCTGCCCCTCACATCCCAAAGTCACTTTGACCTGCCTGGGCATCGAGCCTGTCACTCCTGTGCGCTGTCCTCTATGCTCTGGCATCACAACTATGACCTCTTTCCTCCTCCTCGGGAGGCACTATAGCGCTTTGCGTGGTTGCGCTCCCCTTTCTGATCCACCACACCCAGCAGCACTTCACGCTTACACCCCCCGCAGGACCTCCTCACCAGCCCGCCCCGCACACCTTAGGCCACAGCTTGGCAAAAAGTCGGGTGGAAAGCCACCACCTCTGCTGACAACCCTGCACCTTTCCTGAAAAGCGGAACCATACTGCAGCAATTGCCAAAATATTGATGTCACATGGCACCAAACCCAAACAATACACTAAGCTCAAAAAACAGGCATGCCACCAAATGCTTGTTTTTAGACCTTCTGACCTACTCCCACCCAGAACTTCCACATCCTGCACATTTAACCAACAGTCACCTACCAGAGGCACCAGCTGGACAGACCAGTCTGGCGGGGAGTGGGATAGGGCTGGGGGCTGCTGCTACCAGTTCTGGATGGGTAACACTGCTGCTGCTCTGTCATCCGTGATGCGTTTCACTCATTGCCCAGTCAGCAGCCCTCTCCCCTCACTGTCCACTTGCAGAATCACTCACGCCATAGTTCCCAAGGATCTCGGGGCAGCTACAGACTTGACACACCTTGTCGTGCCTCCCGTGGGAGTCCGTGTTGCACTCACCAAGCACCAGACCTGGGACTCCATTTCTGAGCCACTTTTCTGGGCACAGAGCAGGGAGTGGCAGCTTCCCACCACCAGCACTGGCTCTCCATCTCACCTACTCCTAGAAGACTCCCTGCGGCTCACTTATGGCCCAGAACAAGCACCCGTTCTCTGTCCAGCCTGCAAAGCACCTCAGGGAAAGGGGTGGAGACAGTGAAGGATTAAAAAATAAACACACCATCTACACGCATCCGTGTCAAACGCCCTTTAGTGGTAGACAGAGGTGCTGCTGGCCCAGCAGCCCGGCCCCACATACAGACTCGCACGGTGCTGTGCCCGGAGTCCCTGCCCCTTCACCGGATATGCACCATCTCCTCCAGGAAGGGGGTTTTCATGCAGCCTGTGCAGAGCTGATCCATCCAGAGCGGAGCCTCGTGCTGCAGAGGGGTGCGCCGGGGGTAGAAGGTGAAATTCACGTCATAGTTCACCAGGGAGCTGATGGATGCCATGTAGATACCGGAGAACCGCACCAGCCGTCGAGAGAAGTACGTGGGGTTGTGGAAGGTGCGGAAGATGCTTCCAAACTGGGGGTTGAACAGGTTCTTCGTCAGCGACCTGAGAGGAAAGAGATGGTGCTCTGTAGATAAAAGGCCATGGTCACAGATTCTTCTCCCTCTACTCCCTTAGCCCTGGGCCACCCAGAAGACCTTTTGGGGTCTAAGTACCCTCCCACCCAGGCTGCAATGCAGTCCAGTCCCTGTGCAGTGAGACTGTGATGAAAATTCAATGCACTCTTACTGTTCGTTGTTACCGTACCTGTTACAGGCAGGGACCCACCCACAGCGCCAGGAGCTGCAGCAGCAGACAGCCCATCAACCGCCCCCAGCACAGGGTGACACCACCTCCCCCTCTCCCACCCTGCCTTCAAACCAGTCCAGCCTCCCAGGCTGCAGGACTGCACTGCTGCTTCCCCCCACCCCCAGACAAGCGACACCAGGGAGGACCACAGGCCAACAGCTGCAGCACCACTGTCCCCAAAACAGGTTACAAAACAGACCCAGTGCAGGCCTGGGAGCGAGGGAGGCAATGCTCACCTGATCTCCTGACGTTCCTTCATCCACTCCAGCAATACTTGCTTCGACTCTGCATCCTGATACATCTGCAAAGACAACAGCAGAAAGCACCACATTGCATCAGTCCTGCAGCCCACACCTCAGCATCCCCCAGTTTCCACTGTAACTCGCAAACTCATGAGTCCACTGCACGAGGAGGAGGATGAGATATTTTTGAGAACACAGGTATGTCCCCCGGTTCCCATGCTAAGCCCAAAACACAGATTCAGAAGGCAGCATGTTACCTGTCCTGCTCAGACAGGAGCTGTTTACCTGCATTCTCTCTAGCAGCCCCGTCAGAGCCTGCTGCCAGGTCAGGGAGTGCATGTACTGCTCTGTGTTTATGATCCGAATCTCTGTCTCCAGTTCAGGAACGATGGCTCCAGTCCTCCAGCCATGACGCAGCATGAGGTCCTAGAGGTCGGGGTGAAAAAACAACCAAGAATTCATCATAAAGACTGAAAGCCAAACACAACCCCGTTTCCTAGAAGAGTGGTGTGTTCCCATTATAGATTCTCAGGGGACCAGCATCGATGGCCCATGCCAGGTCATGCCAGTAACAGCCATCCCTTGGCCACCAGGATCAGCTGCATGAAGTACCTAGAAACGTGGGATCCACACAAACTGCCCTCAAATTCACAGAGCAGCAGATGTTCTTTACCCACAGAACGTATTTCAGGAGCCCTCTCTCCTCTGCTTGCTTCTGCCGGACAGCAGAGTGGGGATGCTTATGTGCCCTATGTGTGCCCCAAAAGCCGCAGGCTGCAGAGCACCCAGCACGGCATAGCAGAGACCTCAGCACTCAGATCAGGGCCCTGCCTTACACTCCAACACAGCTGTAACCACACCAGTCACCCAGGCTTGCTCCCACCTCACTGGAAAGCAAAGACCTTTCCACTTACCGCAAGGTCGCTGTACAGATGGTCACCAAAGTACAGCACTTTGGACCCACGCCAGCCTGTCAGCCTCAGAAAATCAAAGAGATTACCCTGCAAGTAAAAGGAGCAGAGAGAAACGTGGTTACAGGCCAAATGCCTCCATCCTCACCGCGTGGCACTGGGCAGGCACCGCAGCAGCACTGTCAATGCAACTGGATGTGCCACCTTACCACATGCAGATGTGAGCACTCTCATGAGATGTCAACCTGCTCACTCCCTCACCATCCAAACCCAGAGGTTTCTGTCCTTTCCCATCTTATTTCACTTTCTTCCCATATGACAACCCCCCTGTACATCCCTCAGCTTTTCTTAGGCTACAGAAAAAGGCAGAAACTCTTCCCAACCCAACAGGCAATTCAGGGGAAGTTCTGTGCTCTCGGGCACAGCAAGTCCAGAGGACTACATGGACTAAAAAGGCAACAAAAGGAGGCAGTTTAGAGGCCAAAAGTGAAAGAAATTAGAAAAGCCTGAGCAATGGACAGAAAGAACCCCAGGTGTTCTGGGTTTAGAAGTTGTTGGGCTCAGGTGATAGTGATTTCACCTCACAGGGTGCATCGGAGGTAAGGTGAGCACCGTCATGCAAGGCTTTCGGAGTCAGGAGCACTTGAGGTTGTTCTCACTGACCACCATCCCAACCCAAAAGATTAACAACACCCACGCGTTCACAGGAATTGCTTAACCAAGCCAAAAAGCCAGGCAGCTTGGGCAGATTCGCAGCTAAGTAAAACAAACCAAACCCCAAGGCACCAGCTAAAGCACAGCACAGAGCAGCTTTCAAGGCTTTCCAAACATCCGTCCACACACAGAGGAGACTTCAGGGACCCCCCCTTTCATCTCCACACAAGTTTTCCACAGGGATACCCCTTCCACCTCCACACAAGTTTTCCACATGAGTCACAACGGAAACAAAACCCACTAGGAAAGAAAAAGGCCCCATCAACGCCAGCAGACTAGACTGTGCCAGCACAAGCAATCAATGCAGACCTGCAAGCCACTCGGCAGCAATCTCTCCTGCCAGTCTCCAGTGCCAGGAAAGAGCTGGCCTACCAACAGCACCAGCCCAGACAGAAAACCCCCAAACACAAGCCAGTTCCCACAACAGCCTGCAGCCCTGCATTTGGCCACTGGCAAAATGCTGTATGCACTGCAAAGGGTACCCAGAACCAGAGTGCTGGGCCTCCTGTTGCTGCAGCATCACTGCAGCTGTGCAGACTTCCCTCAACAGCACGGAAACAGAGGGCCAGGCAGGCCTCTGCATTTCTTGGACATGACGTTGCTGCTGCTTGCTTGAGGATTGCTCATGAAGCCACTGGCAGAGCAGGGAAATCAACCACAGCCTTGGGAGGAGGATGGGCCTTTTGCTGTGCTCCAGTCACCTCAAACAGCAGTGGACCTGACAACCAGGAGACTTACGCTTGGAACTCCACTGAGCCACAGAGCTGTTACGTGACCTCCAGGAGCTGGCTGTCCTCCTCCCCTCCTGAGATCGCAGACTAGGGGAGGGATGGGAGTACATACGTGCCACAAACAGAAAACACCACAGCTATCAGGAAGGAGGGACTAGAGGGCCACCACTTGAACTTCCCAGTCCCCAGTGCAAAACACCAATCCCTGAGGTCCCATTCGTATGAGATACCCACAGCACAACCGCCATACAGCTGTGCGTCAGGGGACAGGAACAAGTCAGCTCAGAGGCCTCTAGCAACATCACCAGCACAGCAAGGTCCATGGCCACTAACACTTGCCAGAAAGAAGCATGTTGTGGCACTCCAAGAAATCAAAAATGCCGGGAACAGGGTGGACTACAACCAGGATACACGCTCTGTCACATCCCAAGAACCACAGTTCGGCAACAAGCTTGATGCAGTTGGATGACCGTCATGGTGGGGGAGAACTGGAGAGGAGCCCAAAATCCTACCCACCCCTCCTTCCTCCCTCATCTTTTCCCTTCCTCAATGTACCATTCACTTGGGTGAGCAATCTGTGGCCACAAGATGTAGGTGGTCAAGAGCAGGATTTAATTCGGCAATAAACCCCATGGCTGAGGTGCAGTTTTCTCCCGAGGGACCTGCTAACCCACTGGGGAAGTTTGCCCATGGGAGAGAGAGACTTTGTATGAGCTCTACTTGCATGTTCCCGGCTGCTAGCTCTTGGCAGAGGATGGGACACTAGCAGACCACTTGGACAGACCCACCGGACACACCAGAGGCTTCCCAACAGCACTACTCAAGGACATGACCTACTTTTCTACCGCAGGTCAGGTCCCAGCTACTTGACCGTGATCTCACTAACAGTTTCTTCCCGTGGGATTGCACGGCTCACACAACCAAGAACAAACTGTCCTAAAGCCAGAGGCAACTTGTTCTCAGGGCACAGACCAGCTGCAAGGAGAACAGCCCAAGGCAGCAAGTTTGCCAGAGTAACAGCCCATCCTTCGGACATGCTTGGCCTTCAGGAAGGGGAGAGAGACGGGAGCCAGGCTTTGTTCCCTATTTGATCACCCTTGTTTCTCTGCTCCCTCCTCCACAAATCCACCTTTTCTAACCTCATGGAGGACAATTTGGAGTGAGGTGCAGAAGATCTTTGCGTACACATCAGATTGCAGAGAGCTCTGCCTTCTTACCCTGAACAAGCACGCTCTTGGGAGCCCTGCCAGGGCAAGAGTTTCAGGACCAGGACATCAGAAGAGCTAAGGGAAAACTGCCAACTGGCCATGCTGGACAATGTCAGAACAGAGGTCCTAGGGTCAAGGTTTCACTATATGCTGGGGCAGGGGGCATTCACTGACCCCTGCTACACACGCAGAGGATGTTTCTCTACTACCCCTTCTCACACAGGGGCAGCCACAGGGAAAAACTCAGCCTGGCAGAGAGAACTCAGCACAGGTCCTCCTGGGCAGAAAGGCAAGCACCCAACACCCTAAGTTAACTGGCCCTTCTCTGCCTTTTCCCCCCTTGTCCCTGTCCCTCCACCTCTAATGCCAAGCCCAGTTGAGCTGGGTGGAATACATCACTCCCGTTACACACCTTTCTGCAGCATGACCCACACACAAAGCTGGGTAGGAAACTGTTTCAGAGCTGCAGACAAGAAATTTTCCTACCAGGCAGCTCTGATATACCTTATTTCAGCTCTGCCTCCTGCAACTGTAAAAAACTGTGATTGCTGGGAGAGCAGCCTTTTCTACACCTGGCATTCTCAGAGGCCGGTTTATCGCATGCTGACAGGCAACACAGCCCTTGGCAGGGTTTTCCGATATCTGAAAAGATCCTTTATTCCAATGCTTACATCCCAGCAGAAGCCAAAAGACTTTTCAGAGGCATGCAAATTGCAAGGCTGCTGCTCCACAGCATGCCAAGAGACATGCTGAAAGCATTTGGGACGACAGTGTCCTACCAGACCAGCAAGAGCTCTCTGCATGTGGACAGAGGGCATCTCTCGCTGCCACCAGCCAGTGCAGCACCCAGAGCCTAGAGCGTCTCCTTATAAGTGCCCTCTAACTCTATCATAGGCGCTTTTTTCAAGGATTTCCATTTTTCACTTTTCAGACATCAATCACAAGTGACCTACAGAAGAACTCATCATTTTCCCCCACCCTGACTAAGCAGATTTTCCTGTTTTCCGGTGACTTCCAAAACTGCAGGTGTCTTATAAGTCCCCACCATTTCAGACTCTTGCTTCATACCCCCTACATACACATTCGCTTTACCTCTTTGTAGATCTTTCCTTTCTCCAGCTGGTTTATTTTGTCCCACTGCAGTGAGCCTTTATCATCCAGTTTTCGAAAAGGTCTGGAAAAAAAGGGGGAAGACGTCAACTTCTTTTGATTTTTGGCGATTGTTACCCAGCAACCACAACATCTGAATTGGAAAACTTGTTTACCTATGTAACAACTCATAATAAAAGCTCTACGTGAAAAGTGACCTTCTGGGCCTTCTGCACTATTTTCTCTGGGGAAGAGAGAGTGCGAGAGAGAAATATCTTTTCAAAATGCTTCCATTGACTGTAACCATTTCATGCCAATATCCCTAACAACTCTTCTTGCTTTTCAGATACAGGGAAGG